AGAATTTTTTCAGATTTTTTGAATGCCATTAAATAAGGAAAATATGGCAAAAACCACTTTTTCTTTTTCACCCTGTAACTACCCTCCCGGTTGAGATACAGGGTTGAAACTTGGTGTACAATGGTGTTTTATTATAAGCTATAAAATGGTGCATTGCTGAATAAAATCGGCTCAAGGGCACTTTTGACCATCTTATCCTGCTATACTCTTTTGTTCGAAAACGTTTCATTTGTTTATAAATTTCTTCTTCAACAGTAATTAAAAACGAAGAATTAATTGTAAGTTATTAGTTGAAACTTTTTCATGTTCTTGTTTCGATGAACCTTTTTGAATATTTTACCATTCTCTTATTTTAATAAGTACAAAAAGATATAATGTCCTTAACTATAGAAATTGAAGAAGATAACTCTGTTATTAGACTTTCATGGATCATCCTGTATATAGTATTACGATTACCTTTGCAGTTATTGTAAATGTAGAATGTATGTACACGTTGGTACTCATTTTCTATTCACGAGTTGAACTCTTCATTTGCCAAATCAATTAACTCCACAGAAAAAAAAAAGAAAATTGATGAAATAATGTAAGTCAAGTAAGCAATATTGAAATGTTAAAAAATTTCTAGAGTGGAGTTAATTATTGTGGTTTACAAACAGCTCAGTTAAAGATTACCACTAAAATGAAGGGAATACCAAATTGTACATGCATCTGATTTTAAGTATAATGAGTAGGTTTTAATTACGACTTTGTTGACGTTCCTTCAAAATAGTTGGCACGTAGAATACACTAGAAAGAGGTTCGAGTTTCTTAAATTAGATACTTTTACTAAACGATACTGTTTGTCGATTGTTGTTCCTGTGTTATGAAATGCAGTTATAAAGATTAGCTCCTTTTTGCAGAACATAAAATATAGGAAGATTCGAACGATCAATTTATTAGAAATTGCTTTCTTTTTTTTCCCCATTAATTGTATGTACAAGTATGCAAAATACTGTGGATTAAAGGTTTCCTTTGTTCCTCTTTAAACACATCAATGATCTTAAAAAAAAAAAATTCACGCTACCATATACCTACTCGCGTCAGATAGCAAAATTCTTAAGTGTATACTACGATAATGAATAACCGATAAAAGCACATTGCGATATGATTTGTTACCCTGTCATCAATGTTTGCTAAACGTTTTGCCCTTTAGAAGATTCTCCTTCGAAGAAATTTTTTAACCAATTTTGTGGCATTACGTCGCATCGTATCATGGGGAGAGAAAGACACTTTTTAATGATTATTACAAGCAAATTGTATTGTACGATTCCGATAACTTGTTCGTTAGATGAGCATTTCAAGATACAAAACAACAAGAGAAAAGAAAAACAAAAACGATTCCTAGTACATATCTGATGATGATAATAAAAGACGAAAGAAATGCAGATGACACATAATCGATTTAATCATACTTCTACAGTTTTGAACTGTACGACACTACAAATCATCAATCATACATTATGTATAAAGGGACATATCTATACATATTCACCTCGAAAGTCCAAGAAGAGATCGACACCTATGAATTTGTTAAGACAAAAATAAAACATGTTTTTATCTCTTTTTTAGTCTATTAATAAATACGTATATTAAACCATATTTACAAAAATCTACATAAAACTGTAACAAAAAATACGCATAATAGAATTTATCTAAAACGAAAAGAACATAGATTTTCATAGGCTAGGTTACATTTTAAAATTGATTTTTAACAATGAAATGAAACAATTTTCCGCAAAAAACATCTGCTCTTTGGCTTAACAAAAAATAGGAATTAAGATAAAAGATTCTTCGCGAAGAACTTTTTTTCTAAATTAGTCATTTTCAAGATGTTTTAAAAATACGGTTAAAAAAAAAACACGTTTAATGTGTTAAAAAATATGTAAAACATTTTGCCATTTCTAGCTGTATGTATTCCCTTAATGAAAAAAAACCGAGCATGCTATGCAATATTATAAATTTACAACACGATGTGTGTATTTGATGCTGAACGTTTAATGAGACACAAACACGTACATATATGAATTTCTTGATTGAAACAACAGATTTATCGGTATCACATTCTGTGGTTGTCCCATCAAATGGCTAAAGAATCAATGACATGTCATCGTGACATTTTGAAAAGTATAAATTGCTTCAGTTACCAATCTGATCTTCCACATATTTATTCATTCTCGAAATTAAATAAATAATATTGAAAGTGACTTCAAAGCATCACAGTAATCGTGCACTACAGTAGACACTGTAATTTAAAAAAAAAAAACAGACAAATCCATAATTTAATTTAATAAAAATAGTTACGATCATTCGCTATTTCGAAATGCTATCCGTGGAAATTAACCCTCAAACGATGGAGCCAGGCCTATAAAAACAGTACCTACTTCGATTAACATTAGACACTCAAATTTTTGAATGATAGATTTTAATAAAATGAAGAAAATTTGAGAAAGTCTAAAATTATATTTATGGTGTCACTGTTTTATTGTCGGTATTCTATCGTCCGAGGGTCAAAATATTTCCGAGGATCACGATAAATTAATTCCTTTTTTCAACTAATTTGCACATTGTGCAGGATTTCTGTTATTGATAACACGCGACCATCATTAGATCATCAAAATAATCTTTAATTGATGAAAGAAAAGTGTTTCGAACAGGAGTTAGACGATGATGTAAATCAGTGATGGATATTGAGACAGTAATGTGATAAGTTGCAGGTAATCTAAGTAGGCCTTAAGTTATCACCATATTTTTGGCAATGATTAAAAATGTAATTGATATATAACTATTTTTCAATTAGGTATTATTTTCTATGAAAAAACAGTAAGTATTAGCCTCAGATAACGTCATTAATTCTAATCTCTCCTTTGGAATTTTTTAACATTTAATTCTTGAGATTATCGTTAAAGTAATAAAATAATTATATGTATACGTGATATACATAACATTTCGCATTTACCTATCTTCCACTTACAAGGAAGGTTTTTGAGGTGTTCGCCTCCGTTTGTTTTGATTTTTGGATATGTTTTAAAGGACCGAAAAATAAGGTATACGTGTATTTGTTATTTTGACCCGTTTTCAAATTTAGGGGGTGAACGACCCTCTAAAGTTTCGCCGATAATAGGCTATCTCGAAAACTATCATAGATAGAAGAAAACTTTTTAAGGAAAAGTTTCATAGCTTTTTATGAGCATATAACAGCTGACCATAAATATTGTAAAAAATAATTTGTTTATAACATTATTTCAAAATTAATCACAATTTACATAATATCAAAAAAGAACATAAATTTTTTTCTGAACCATTGGTGTATTATATACTATGTTTGCCTCTTACATTTTTGCATATTTTAATATTATACAATACGCACCGCGCATATACGCCGGTTCGCGGTCATACTATACATACATACATATGTATGTATATGACGTACCGTCAATATGTATCTTTCTTGCAACGATTTTCTCTCGCAAACAACATGTATATGATCGGCTACATTTTATTTATTTCTTTCTCTTGTTTTTATCACACTACAATCTATGTAGGTATCAGATGACCAAGGAAGTTCTGTCGGCCGAGCATGAGTCATATCATAAGACTCTAAATCGATATTAACGCCATGAAACAGAATCAGTGAATGCATAGAGAAGTGATACTTACATATTACGCACTTAACAAACAGCAGACAATTAATCATACGTGTATACATATATGTATGTAGTTCTTAAAACCATCATTAATGCACTGTGCACTTTCTTGAAAAGTTCTGCCACTCATGCACGAGTCACTTGATATTTTTGTACGCTTAACAATAACAGCTTATCAAGTCATGCGTTATATTTTCCGAAGCTTTGCTACTTATATCTCAACAGTTGGTTAGTTCTTTACTCAAATCCGAGCGTTCAACGTGATCACAGTATTGATTTTGTAATACGGTGATTAAAAATGATTATCAAACATCGATAGTTAGATGCTCTTGGTGTAAGAAAGCATTTTGTTTAAAACATTTTTTTTCATGAATATCACTTCTGCAACAAATATGAATATTATGTGAATCATTTTGTAAATTGCATGCATCTTATAAAAGATTCAGATTATAAATTTATACCACATACACATATCTAACATACACTTGAAATATAATTGCACCAATCATGTTACTAATACCGGAAATTAATTTACATTTATTATATTCCTTACCATCTTTATCGCATATTAATACATAGGTACTAAAGTAACCTTTATTAATATTGTAAGCTATAAATAACTTTACTAACGCCTAGCATACATGGTAAACGCCAGATATCGTAATGTGTATTAACCGTGCATCCATATTTGGTATGACCGCGACCCAGCATATGTGCGCGATGCATATTGTATAATATTAAAATATGCAAAAATGTAAGAGGCAAACATAGTATATAATACACCATTGATTCAGAAAAAAATTTATGTTCTTTATTGTTATTATGTAAATTGTGATTACTTTTGAAATAATGTTATAAACAAATTATTTTTTACAAAATTTATAGCCATTTGTTATATGCTCATAAAAAATCATAAAACTTTTCCTTAAAAAGTTTCCTTCTATCTATGATAGTTTTCGAGATAGCTTATTATAGCCGAAACTTTAGGGAGTCGTTTAATACGCTCTAAATTTGAAAACGGGCCAAAATAACAAATACACGTATACCTTATTTTTCTGTCCTTTAAAACATATCCAAAAATCAAAACAATCGGGGGCGGCACACCTCAAAAACCTTCCTTATTAGAATTGTACGTACATGTTTGCATTTCTTTTAACTGTTTCCTAATTTTGTATAATAATTTTAATGTTGCCACATTCTGAACATAATAAACAAACATAAAAAAATATTTTAAGACATTATAATGATTTCATATTTAAAAATTATATCAAACAATGATAAACTTATTGGCAGTTGATTACAGCCATGACGGTAGATGATATAAAAAAATATTTATTTATTATAGGAAACAATAATCAAAAACATTTGTTACAGACACTTAAAATTGCATTATTGAACCGTTAAATTATCTAATTTAATATACAAGCTGTCCCGGAACTCGCGTAACTTTCGTAAATGGGGGTTGTCAACTAGGGTGATTCTCAACAACTTTTTCCTTTACCAAAATGTTGGTTGTAGCTTCGTTTTTGAGTTATTAACGAAAAACAGTGGCCAACAAGAGCGCGCGTAGAACGCGCGCTGAACCACGGGGACGTTGGGTTTCGCTCGTGGTCGTGAACAAACGCATTGACATAGAATGGGTATCAAGAGAAGCGTGCGATAAATGTTACATCGTCTTAAATTAAGAACAATGTGGAATTATTGGTTGTTCATGAACAACGAATAAAATAATGAATCGTTCATGTAGAATGAATAAGTCGAATTGATTTTGGTAAAGGAAAAAGTTGTTCAGAATCACCCCAGCAACCCCCCATTGCCGGGAGTTACGCGGGTTCCGGTACACCTTGTATAATGTAAAATAAAGTAATTGCCTTTATCAAATTTTATTTGCAAAGAGGCATTTTTTATTGTAAATGTTACTATGTTGAATTATTATTTTAATGATAATGAAAAAAAGTAATGATGTTACTTGGAAATGTAAACGCTTTACATTAGATGACTACATACAATCTTCTGTACTACCCCTCTTATTGTTAGCCTAATTGACCTATCATTTCGAAATATCCAGAAAAAAATGATAAAACTATCTGAAAAGCAATTAAACAAATAAATTATGTAAACTATTTTTAGTTTCCTGCAAAGGATACATAGGCCATTCCAATTTTACTTAAAGAATCAAATGTATACCAAACTTTAAATATCTCAAAATATTTAGAAAAATGTAAAATGATAGATAAGACATTTTAATTAATTATAAGAAGGGCAGTATAGTTATTCATAGTAGGTACTCACGGCAAGCGATCGTAGTCGCCCTTAATAGCAAACAGATTAAAACGGTATGCCACGTTCTGAATGAATTTATTTGTATGTACAATATTACAACATATCACAATACTGACCCAATCTCCATCACTATTTCACACATCTGAGATGTCTGATAGGAGCGACAATTTTGATTCCATCGAGCTAGACGGAGGCAAAATAACGATTGATAACCAACAAAATAATAATGAATGTTATTAAATTCTATATTGCACTAGAACCTTTTTTTTGTCTGTTACCTAATAGAATGACAATAGACTATTATTTTTCTAGAAAATACCTATTCTCTTATGTATATATACAATTTAAAAACGATTACCAACTGTTCGCTTAGTTTTTAACTATTACAGCGATGTATCGTAATATAATTCTTCGTTTTTTACCGAATAATATCCTCGCGGTATTGCTGGGTGCACGCTGATGGATTCAAGCATGATCACGTATCATCAAATATCATTTTTATTTTGATCTGGTTCCTGTGGTCGACGACGTGATCAGCTAATTGCGTGCATAATCAGACGAGGATCTCGTTTCTCGGATTTCGTTGCCAACGAAATCTTAAAGAAACAAAAATAAATCGCGTTTGGTCGTGAAATATAACGAGTAGTTTATCAAGAATCGAGAGAACAATTTCTTGGTGATTGTTGACCGACCAATCACGCTCCCAATGTTACTAAATCAATCACGAAGAAGTTTTTATTTTATAATTTTAATCATGTCATTCGTTGAAAATATTTCGTTTGATATTGGTTCGTTTCGTGATGATGTTGTCGTATTTTTATTTTCATTTGCCACAAGGAAACTTTCTGGCATACGTACAGGGAACGCGCGATTAGTCACGGGAAATACAAATAAAGTTAATTAATTCATTGACTAATAACTACAATATTGCTTCAATATGATATGGTACAGTCTTTTCACTGATTGTCCAATATCACTACGTAACACGTCCTCTTAATATTTCTTTTTGTCTTGGTTTCTCACCCTCTACTTTCTTCCTCCCTTTCACCCTCATCTCGCGCATTTCGCTAATCTATATACACCACCGGATCGATCGTGATTTAATAAATATTAGTAATAAATAATTCCAGAAACTTTAGTAATTTGCAGTTTCGTAGAAATAGGCAAATTATTGTTAAGAATTTTAATAACTTTATCAGTAAAAATTTTTAAAATTTCTACAAGTAACTGTAATTAATATAATATTTCTCTGTAAAATAATTACTAAAGTTTGGTTTCCTTAAATCGTTGTTTTTTTACTTTTGAAATTAAAAAGAGCAACGAAACGATGTAAATCTGTGATAAAATAATTTAAAAGAATTCGTTCCAGTATTGAATATTTCATTGTATAACTTTTACTCTTCTCGCACTCATACATTTTTCTCTCTCTTTTTCTCTAGTTTCTCACTTTTTACACTGTCTCATGTGTCTTTGTTAGGATTAATATCACTTATTTCTTCGGCGCGACGTTACTGGCGCGTCGATTTTATAACAATACGTACTTTTATATTTTATGTTTCGAATTGTACTTTCCAAGACGCATTGACGATTATTTGGCTATGTACGTTTCAACTGACTCTTCTTTATTCACGAGAATCACCTCCATCCTTTTAATTTATCATCAAGAAGAAATATGTAATTTATTTAATTTTAGTTTCCTGGGCTTTTGATGCATTTCTTTCAAAACTACCATTCAGTTTTAACAACTTTTATACATTTGAACAATTTTTGTACCTTAACGATTTGAAAAGTCTCAGAACATGTTCACAATTTTCTGTGTGCGTCTATTGATTTTTTTTTCCTTTTTTTAATAGGAATTGACTGAATTCGCTTAATAAATTAAATAAATTTTATATGATATAAATAGTTGGTGTCTTCCAGATTTCTTTAATTTAATTTAATTTGAAAATTAACATTTATAAAGCGGAATTTGCTGGTGTATACACTAAATTTAGTAGTGCTTTGACAAAGTCCGTGATCATGAAATCAGCATCAACGACGATTTCCAGTCGATACGAGTTGGTTTGAGAGTGGATACGCTCGTAAACTGTTTTATCGCGATCGTAGCTGATATGCTTCACAAATTCTATCTCACTTTGCAGATGATTTGATCTAGGCTTTCCGTAAGAGCTTTTTTATGTCATTTTATATGATATTCTTATGCAACATGTACCGCAGCTTCCAGTTCATAACGCGTAGTCTCAGTCTCGTTTACTTTAAATGTTTTATTATTTTATTTTTCGTATTAATATACAACAGAAATTCTTAACGTATACAAAAACTAGTAAATTTCATAATAATAATAGATCACTTCAGAAGTTCATATAAAAAAAGAAAAAAAGAAATAGTGTAATAATCAATTCAAAGGCTCGTTCAAATTGCTGAGATAATCTAATATATTACCTGAATGAAATATACTTTCAATATAAAGTAAATTACGCGAATCATTATCTAATGAAATTGTGATCATTATCTGAATAATAAATTGTTCAATCATTGAGCGTGTTGTGTAAATTAAAACCAGGAAAACGTCGCAAATAATAAAAAATTGTTAAAAATTATTGAAAATTATTATTAAATGATTACTTACAAATGAATAGCAAGGTTCAGAGGAGCAGACTCGCAAATCGATGAGTCAATTGAAAATTCCTTAGAAGACGCGTCGAGAACATCGCGCGTACGCAATAACCACAAAATATTCGTATTAAGCCTGTGACAGTCTGACTATCGTCATTTCTGTTGCCACAGTATCGAGCTATATTATTCGATCCACTTGAAACCGAGAATCCTTAGCGAACGCCATCAGTACAGTAACTGTACAACTATCCAACGTAGATATTACAGTTGAACTGACGGTTTAATTCCTCGCAGCAATGGCCTGTCCTCCTTATATCCACTTATATCTCGTTTCTTTTTACGGCCATCCCTGAAACTCGGTCAAGGGTTCTGGTTTGGGCTCGAGACTGGGCAGCTGATACGGTCAGTTTTGCTGTCACAAGCCACCCTCGGGTCAATGTTGAGCCGCGAATTTCATGCGCTTCTGCTTTTGTCGTTGGTTACAGAACCAGACCCTGACAACGTTCTTTTTCAGGTCGAGTTTCTCCGCGATCGCGGCTATCTTTTCGCCGGATGGCCGCGGTTGAACGGCGAAATACGCCTCCAGTGATCGTTTCTCAGGTGCTGCTATGCTGGTCCTCTTTCTTTTCTTTTCACCAGCTGGTAATACCGACGGAGCGTCGGGATCTCGCCTCTTGTTCTTCGCCTGAGCCTCTGCCTCCTCGAGCCACGCTTGCAGGATCGGCTTCAGGGCGATCATGTTGTTATGGGATAACGTCAACGACTCAAACCGACATATCGTTGATTGGGAGAGCGCCCCGACGCCAGGTAACTTTAAATTTGCCAATGCCTTACCGACGTCGGCTTGCGTCACACCGAGCTTGATGCGTCTCTGTTTGAACCTCTCCGCAAACGCTTCCAATTCTCGTGGATCCGTGTCCGCGTCCGGATGCAAGCCTGCAGCTGCAGCCGCAGCTGCGGCCGCTGCCATTGCGGGATGATGGTGAGCCGGATGTGGTACGCTACCGCCTCCACCGCCTAGGTTACCGTGATGGTGATGATGACTCATCATTCCGTTCATGCCTCCGTACACCGAAGGACCATGGATACCGGCGTGATGGCCAGGACCACCGCCGGTGTTTTCTGACATTGGAGTTAACGTAGTCATTGAATTGGCTGGGTCCAACATGTCCAGACTTTCCATACCTGGATGGCTCATCTGCAACAGCAAAATGAACAAATTGGGTTATGAATCATCGACGATGGCTGAGAAGTTTATTACATATTAGAAAGTTATTAGGTGTACCAGTGAATAATTGATATTTTTTTGGTATGTTAAATGTGGCACATAGTTTTAATAAAACCAAATTTCCAATTTAATTTATATGTAATGTTGTACAATACATGTTGTACATTACTGTTTAGCAAATGAAAAACAACAAGGCAGTATATTATAAATTAAAATTACATTTTTTCATCTATTACAAAGATGGTGGGCTGAACCATCTTTTTTTATACCTTTTCCGCATAATTTAATAATATTGGATAAATAAAAACGGAATATAACGGTTTCGAGTGTCGGAATCCATTGGTTAGGTTAAATTAGATTATCTAGGCACAAAATGATAAAAGAAGACATAAGAAGATACAATAGACACTTTGAATACTCATAAAGAACTGTTCAGTCAGTAATGTCAACAATTATAATCATAATATCAAAATTCATAATACCAACAAAAACTATCACCTTAACGGTCTATTTTTGATTCATGAGACATTATTCAATTAAATATGGACAACATAGCACGTAAGTATGTATATACATATAAGTCAAACAAAAGAGTCCTGGAAAGATAAAGTTGGCCATACAATACGCCAAAAGTAGCAAACTCTAAAACAATGCATAACTTTTGAATCAATTGATTCCGATACTCAAAATCATTATACAGGATGGGGAAAAAGTCGCAAAACGAATGGAACATCTTTTGCAAAAACTTTAAAGTATATCTGGGAAATTTATTATAGAAATCCACCCTCTAAATTCCGGAACATGGAAGGTCACATACCTCACCATGTTGTTGAAAAGATTGCAGTAAACGTAGAATAATCGATTTAGAGGGTGAGGTGTTAGACAAATTTCGCACATTAAAATGACGACGATAAGCTTTTTGAATCAGTATCATTGAGTGATGATTTTCAAAATAAAATATAACAACTTTTGGTACGTTGAATAACCCTCCAACTATGTACTGCGATTTCTAGGCCTTTGCCGGAGTCACTTTTAAACTCACGCCGATATTTCACTAATACATGTTAGCGGTCGCTCGAGAATGCTCGAGAACCGCACCGACTTATACCAAACAAACGATCGCCCGAGGTCGAGAATTTCATCAATATAATATTACAAAATGATTAATTTTATATTAAGTTAGGATTTTCGTTGTGGATCACGGGAATGAAAATCTTCTGAATTGTCAGAAAAATTATAGTGATTCTATCTGGTTATGGAACTGAGAAGTTTGCGTCGTTTGCTTCTGCATTGTATGTTTTAGTTTTGTGGTGGGATATTCGTCGCCGATCCTCACTTGGCTACGCACGCCAACAGTTCCGTCATTGTGTGCGTGATCGCTCTCAAGTGGACTTCGGCATAGCATACGAAGGGATAATGCTATACGTTGTTCTGCGAAGCAAGAAAAGGGAAAAAATAAAATTTAAAGGAATTAAGAATTTTTCCAATTGTTTTGCGACTTTTTTCCCATCCTACATTTCGTGTGAATATTATCAGATAATGCAAAAACAGTTCAAAACAAAAATGGTACTACAAAACGAAGTTTAACCAGATAGTAGATTATTGACTGACACACCTATTATATTTAAATATTAGTTTGTGTTAAGGTTGATGTTAGTCCTGTTGATTAAATACTTACAGGAAGTAGTATAATCGGGTTTAATTTTGAAATAGGCGAGAATATAAAAAGCAAATCAAACAATAATCAATAAGAAAAATTAGTTATTGATCATTTACATCTCTTATTGTTAGTCACTTTAATGGAATATTTAATACAAATATTTTTCAATGCGTCTGAAAAAATTACACAGAGTATTACAACAATCTCAGCGTCATCAGACAATTTATCAAAATTTCAAGATTGACATTTCATTGATAAACTTCCTTTATCTAGAAAAAAAAGTGAAAGATTATAAAGATGAGTTGTTTGCATAAAACATGGTAAATATAAAAAATCCAAACTTCTTTGTTAGATTTCGTATGGGAAATTATTTGTATAAATTGATAATTATTTGTTATAACTAATAATCGACCATATTGCGTTAAGAATTTTGATGAAATTTTGATGTACTATTTTTATCAAACATTAAACTTCAAATTAACATGACATAATTTCAAAATTAACTATTTAATATAAAGGAACCAGATATTTATTTAAATAAGTGCATAAAATTAGTAAATGCTTATTAAACATACTGTTCTTAACATGCTTCAATATTTAATAATCAATAGAATCGATCGAGAATAGATTACTTGATAACAAAATTATACATATACCTAATTGTACTTGTTAGCGTTGTGAAAAGAAAGAAATTAATGAAACGAGTAGTGTGCAAAGTGGTGGGACAAGGATGCAAAGGTGAAGAGGAAACGTGTACAAACTAACACGCACAATTATGCAGCACGTGCCGTGGTCGCCGTCGCGAATACAGTGTGCACGACCCCTTACAAATTATTTATGATCTCTCTTCGTATTTTTCCTCCTAGAAACTGACGCGACGGAACGCTAGCTAGCGCTCCTGTACTTCTTTCTCTCTCCTCCCTTCCTCTCTCTCTCTCTCTCTCTTAAAGATATTCCAGTGACCAAATCATAATTTTTTCTCTTCGTCAAATATAAACAAACATGTGGTTTAGGTACCGCAAAATTAACGAGACTTGTCTTTTTACAAATTTTATTGCAAACCTTTTATACAAAATAAAATAGCCCTTTTTAAGTAATTCTAAACTAACAAACGAACTTATACGAAATTATATTTTTTTAACAAACTTTAGGTATTACAAACCTTTTATACGTTCATTTTATTCAGAGAATTTTTATTTCTGAAAAATCAGCACTTTGTAACTGTTCCATGTTATTGGTTTACTGTAATTCAAAATATTTTGAACTCTTAAATTTAGCTAACTAACGTAAGTTAAGTCAAGTTAAAAAGTTTCAACTCTTTCGAAATAATATTTTATTAGAAACCTTTAAAATTCAAAGACTTTTAGTTACATTATGAAAGAAACAAAATTTTGTCAGTTATTCAGCAGAGAATGATTGAATAATTAATCAGTTTCTATTACAAGAAATATCAAATCAATTTTTTGGAAATCTTAATTTTCTTCTAGCAAACCGATTGTATATTTTTATTTGGTTTTACACAAAAGTGAATAGCGTAACATCGTACAATTTCTGGTATCTCATTTTCTTGATATTTACAATAAATTCAGCGCTAAGAATATTTTCTAATTATTAGTAATGTACGAAATAGATAAAAATAAATGTTAATAGTGGATAATTATAATACAAATACTCTTTATTTAAACCTGTGTGCAAAGTAAATACCAATGTTCAGATTTTTTAGTTATTTTTATTGCTATCAATTTGGTATTACAATAACTTAAAAATAGTTTCATTAGTTTTGTAACTTTGATGGATGACGTATATAATATGAAAGTGTTAACGCATTTTAGTAGTCTCTGTTCGATACATTGATAATACGAATTACATGTGCACTAAAATACTTAACAGCATTTGCAGTACCTCTTTTATGTAACGTGATCACAAAGAGCAAAAAACTGCAAAAAATTAGTACTTCGAAAAGTGTTTAAAACAAATATGATTAAATGTTATCTATTAAATGTTAGCAAATAATTCTAGATATCATGAAATTAAAGATTGCGAATTTAATGGGTAATCTAGATTATAATGTGATCAATTCAAAATTATCCTAGACCGTTCATAAGAATAATATCACCGTAGCCGTCTTAAACTTTTATCCACTACTGTAATATCGTACAAAATCGTAATAAATATTTAACAAAAATTCATTAAAACGAAAAAAATAAAAAACTGCTTTCTGGAATTACTCATACTTTTACTCTAACATTCCTTAGAATCTCAAAACATCCGTATTAACATTACAAGTCCACGATTTCCTAACGCACTTCTAATTCTGAACTCGAAAAGATCGTAAAATATAAATAAGAAGGATCCTGCATATAAATCGGCGAAAAACGGAAAATGTAATACATTCCAACTCGTGCAGGATCATGCGCCTACAGGACATTTGCGATAAGTAGATAGGGCGTGACGCGTATGCGTACGAATAGGTTGGTACACGCAACATTTATTCTCACGAGAATATGCAGTATAGCAAGAGCTAACTGGATGGTACGGTTTCGGTCCAGGGGTGCTCTGGAATAGCATAGTTACATCAGAAATGCAGGAGGGTGGGTGGTGGATAGGTAGCAGTAGGAAAGAGGAAGAAGGTACAGGGTTGAAGAAGGATGGTAGCAAATATGGGATGAGCGAGGAGCTAGCCCAGGGGCGTGCAAGGTAGGGCTCTAGAGACCCCCGCAATATTTCATCATTACGCTGACACGACGGTAGGGTTAGTCGATTCCTCTCTCTCTCTCTCTTCATTCTTCTTCGTCTCTGTATATCTCTCTTATTCTATTGCACGCTTACGATTTTTCTCCTTTACTCTAACCTGCGCACCCTTCGTTTTCTGCCAATGATACAAAACTCGTTACATGCGTTCGTGAACGTAATATGTTGCGCGTTAAGCAAGCCGGTGGGACACCACTGCACTGTTATTGAATTCGTCAACCTCGCGTATAAAAACAGACTTTATGGGACACTTGCTGTTTGACCATCTGTACGGGAGATTCATAGGTACGAGCGAGAAGGAGAACTGTAAAGCAGGAGAAGGGTGCTCGTATCACCGCACTGCGGGAAGCCAGAACTGGGATCTATACACCCACTTCATGGTCACTGAATACACTCGCGACTAATAGTCGACCGATTCTCATTCAGATCAATGAAACTGCTTCTTTATCTGATGTCTTATTGATGAGTTCTTTAATGTTTCTTTGAATATTAGGTTGTTCAGTATTAACGAAGTATCATCAATCTGCAATCAATCTTTAGCAAAAGTGAACGATTAAAATGTGATTTATCAGAGATACTAAAGTACCATTTTTGAAATGGGAAAATTAGTTTCTAGCTGTTATTTCTGTAACGAAGTCCTCTGTAAGAAAAAAAGAAGATGGAAAATAAAATATTTTATCCTTTTCGAAGTCGGTTAAAAAGATAACCATTATTAAGTATTTTTATATATCGCGCAATTTTACTAGTGTACGTAAAACAGAATCGACAAGTCGAAAATAAAATTCTGACAAAATTGATTGCGTTCCACCCCGTGTGTTGCGTTACGAATCGTCCCACTGGCGAAATAATACATACATATACGAGATACGCCCCTACGTTCAAGAAGATCATTCGAGGTCACTGCACACTGCTGACTTCACCCCATTGTTATCCTATCATCTACTCATCCGCTTCAGATTGTTTGAATTACCAATAATAAAAGTTTCAAAAAAACCGAAAAGACATGCGAAAAATTGTGAATGAATTTAATTGCAATCTAACATATTGTTATTGAGCGATCTTTTAACCCTTTATAACACTACCTAGTTTTAAAGTCAAATACCATTACATCTATAATTTTAAAGTTTCATATTTCTTTTTTTCTTTACTATAACAAAGTATAGTATTTTATTGTTGTATCATTCCAATCAGAAAACTTATTTATAATAATTTGCAATTCCTGATTGTGAGCATCAGTATAAGCATTTTTATTTCAAAACAATAGCTAGTAATTACTTTATATAAATTACTTTTTTTTTTTCAGGCGTGCTGCGTTCTTTTGCTTTTTCACGTCTGTTAGAAAGTAGTGATGGGCATATTTCTGAATTGCATCGATATTTGGTATCGATACATATCGATAACCAAAGTATCGATATACATCAATTGAGAATAAAGTATCGATCTTATTGATATCAATACGTACAATTAAATTAGAAGTGAAGTTCAGTAAAAGATAGACTATTTATTCAAATGTTTGTTTTATATATGATAAACATATTATTATATTTAATATTTTAATTTTTTTGGACGTGCATCCATTACGAGGATTATTTAGAATCTATATACAAATGTAATTTACGTTTACATAACTATTTATTAACTTTTGCATTACTATACATTGAGATCAATATTGTAGCCGCCAGTACTAAACAATGACGTCAAATTGTTGTTTACGTTGAATGAACTATACAGTATTGCCTCGAAATAAGCAATTCGCTCGGGACCGAACAGTTGCTTATTACGGAGCAGGTATGCTATTCGGCTTGACTTTGTTCTCGAAACGGGACGATGACAATACTGTATATATGTAAATACATACATATGTCATGTTAAATATTGATACTGTATCGCCCATCACTATTAGGATGATGTCCGTTACAGAGTGTGCAAACAACTGCCGTGATCGCGGCGCGGCGTACGGATTTTTGTATTATTCAATAAATGTTATATTTATGATCTTTATTCGCGGTCCACTGTCCTCTTCAATAATTATAAAAATTTCTTTCGTTAACGAACGTTAAACGTAAAAGCAAAATATAGATATTTTATAAATTTATTTATTATTGATAATATCAAATATTAAATTCGTTCATTTTAGTTCAAAACTAAAATCTGTTGCTTGCATCGGCAGACAATTGAATTTTTTAATTGAAATTAATCATAGATCATAATTAATTGCCAAGCATAATGAATTATTATCAGTGGTTTCACCGGTTCGTTGAAATTCGTTGCGAGTTATAATCACATTCGAATATTGTATTTTATACATATATTTTGAAGCTGTGTTTTGGCGTAGGTACATACTTTATTGCGATAATTGTTTCATCAATAAATTTCGTTGTTGGTAGCAACATTAAGTTTTAATAAAATTGTTATGCATCTGAGGTAATTTATCCCCTATCGTAATTCATTCGAGCGTGTGTGTGTGAGCAAATTTTTGCCTGAAATAAAATATACAACCATATATTATTATTTTGCTACTAATTTAACTGATCCTATATGCATATAAATAGACATGCGTAGCAAAACACATTAATTCATCAGTCAAAGTAAGCTATACTAATTTTTAACATTGTACTAATTATTATATTAATATTCTCAAATTTAGCAATGATTCATACTTATTTTACTTACATGTTAAATATTACATACTTATAAGTTCAAGAGCTTGGTTTTCAGTTGATAATCTTGTTAAAAATGTTAAGGATTTTAATCACCATGTTAAATGTACCAACGATAAATATTTGATATAATTTTTTGTCCTTTTAATCTACAACATATTTTATAATTGAAATCATTTTTTTACGTTTTTAATGTGAAATACAAATTCACTAAATGTGTAATATATCTGACCTTTTTAAATAGAGTTTTAACTTAAAGTGCCAGTCATTGTGTAGTTTATCCTATGTATTTTTTTGTATACGCTTGAATATTATTTCCATAAAGTGATTTCTAATCATTTACTTAAATTATTATACTTTGCTTCAATTAATCACTCCAGGTACCGTATTTCAAATAAATATTTTCAATACACTTGTATTAATCACTTATCGTACTTGGACAGAACTATTACAATAATAATTATTTTCAATCATTTTCATTTGAAATATACTCAATTCGGGGCATTGTGACCACGAAACCATTTAACAATAATCTTTTAACAATAACGCGGATTTATAGAAAACATTAATATGAGACTAGTATGATAAAAATGTAGACTCACAAAGAGGTGTGAATGTACCTGATGATGTGGCCGGTTATTTGGATGCGGGGCTGCCATGTGGGCTCCATGGTGATAAACGGAAACAGGGTCATGCTTCAAAGGCATTGGGGTGCCTGCGTTGTGTTTTCCTAAATCCGCAGCCAAAGCTTCTGCCCTCGAAAGTAAGCCGTCTTGTAGACCGCTGTTCAAGCCCCCGAATAAGTCACCCTGCAACGTTAAAAGCGACACGTGACACTGATTGAAGGATCAAGGATCGTACGTCAAGCTGATACGGTAAAATTCTCAAAGAAACTTTCTTTCTTTCCTTAAAACAAATCTAAATCACTTCAAGAATATCTCATTACAGGAGTTGGACAAATTTTTGGATCAAAGAATGATCCAGGAATAGATACTTGCGAGTGATATTTAATGAAGTTAAATTACGTCTTTAATGATAGATTCTAAGAAAAAATTCGGTTTGACGGTTCATCAAAAATATGTTTTATAAAGTTTACATAGTTGAAGTTGCACTAAATGTTATTTTTTGCTTGTAAAAAATATAACGTATAGCTTTTGACAAGTACTATAAAAGTAAAGAAAATGACAAATTTTGCAATATAAGATAAAATATTTTAAACATTTGTAGTGAATTATTAAATGTAATGCAATCTATATCTTAAATTCAGTTTATACGAAATTTTAATAAGATTAAAGGAAAATTATGCACGCGTTAACGTGAAAACGATGGACAATGGACTGCGATTCGGCCAGTTAGATTAATGCTATTTGAAAAGGGGCTACCCGTGACCTACGAGATTTGCTAATCAAATTCGTTTGCTTGTCAAATGTAGCTGGGGATACTGGCTATTTTGAGGTTGAAGAGCTACTAAAAGTAAACGATCATAGGGTCCAGATATTGTTCCATGTTTCGTAAACTGTCCGCTATAACACCAATAGAAATAATTTTGCATTTTGTGCACAAATATCACACCATAAGTTATTTAACACTGTACAAAATTATTTCTCTCTTTTCTCTTATTAAATATGCAAAAGTTTTCATTGTTTAGAAGATCTTTATACTTTACCTATAAGTCAATAATTATCTTTAATATAATATTTCCTAAATCAGGGAATAGTTTTTTTCATCAAGATATTTTGCCACTTTTCAGCCAAAAAATGAATGACAACAATTATATTTTCTTCAAAGAAAATATAATCATTGATGAATTGTTGATAAATTAATTGACAATAATAATAGCCATTATTATTATTATTATTATTACTTATACTATTATGCAATAGTAATTTCTGACGTATAATAAGAATAATAATAACAGCAGCAATAATTTCCCGTATTTACATATGTACATTTTACCAGCTGCTCGGTGCTGATTAAACAAGAGATATTTTTAATAATAATTGTATTAATTAATATAAGATTTTAACATTGTGACACACTATCATGAAAAAAATGAGTTTAACAAAATACATTATAATTTCAGGAAAACTAAATCTATTCCGTAAAACAGAGTAGAAATTCCGTAAAAATTTGTAGTATTTTAAGAATATTTTCCGAAATTCATTGAAATATTGCATTAAAATAGTTTTATTTATGTACCTTTGAATTGTATTATTAGAATTAGGATCATTGGATGTGGACAATCGAACGAATAAGAATGAAAGGGTAAGTATAACCTTCTTTTGGGTGACACATGAAATACCAGTTGGAAAGCAAATTTATGGTTTCGTTTTGTTCACGTACGCTGCTATACCGTGGCAATCGATATTATATGGGACATTTCGCGTCAACTGCATCTGTCACACGCAGCATGTTACAAGGTTTGGCTAGCGTGCAAGAAACATCGTTACATTATTCTAAAGAAATAGAAACAATTGTGATATAGTGCAATTTAGACTTTTTAAAAAGAATATACGTTGTTAGATGTTTGGTTGCAAATACCCAATCAATACAATAGTTACTTTCTGGAGAGTGTTATCTATTCGTATGAATCGATGTTTAACATTTATTATTCATCATAATCAGTCAGCAATTAAATGAAACAGCGGTTATTAACATTAACATGAACTTTGTATAATCCTTTTGTATCGAATAAAAAATACTGTTCCATTTATTTAAATAATAGTCTTATATACATTTAATGGTCGATTTGGAAACATCATACATTTCTCACTGTTTCATGATATAAAAGTAGGTATACCTACTGTAAAATATCATATATGATAGAGGTATACGAGAATTAAAAAATATTCGCTCGAGTCGAGTTGAGTTCTCCAAAGTATAGATGTGCGAGAAATTGTTTTAATCGGCTCAAAGTGAATTAAAAATTTTTCAAATATATATATAATAAATGTACTATGACAGCAAAGAGTTGTTGCATACTTCGAAAATTGCATTTTGGCCAGCTTTTCGGGAAAAGGGACCACTGTGGGTCGGGTTCTCGAAAGAATAGATGTGCGAGGGGTAAGCGATATTCGGATCGGATCGAGAATTATTTTGTTCGGTTCGCGAAATTTGGAAAATTGTGTTTCGCGACGAACTATATGTATATGTATACCAGAGCTCGGCAAGATTTGCACTTTTCAGCCGATTTTCAGCTGGCTCCGCCTACCGCTATTCCCCTTGCCGCGACGTTCAGCGCGCAGTCTACAAACCGTTTGAGGGTCAGGAGCGTATCACTCGTAAACGTATGCTGGCAACCACTAAAAAAAAACGCATCGACAATCGACAATAGTATGTACCTCGCGGGTGGGGTGGAAAGCTATTGCCAGCATATGTTCACGAGTGATACGCTCCTGAGCCTCAAACGGTTCGTAGGCCGCGCGCTGAACGTCGCGGCAAGGGGAATTGCGGTAGGCGGAGCCAGCTGAAAATCGGCTGAAAAGTGCAAATCTTGCCGAGCTCTGATATACATATACATATGTTACAGCATTCAATGCCGCTTGAAATTTAAAAATATTGTGATTGGTTATTGAAATATAGATCGTCAAAGTTGACGAATTTTCATGCTTCTTAGTACGCACCAAAATAAAAGAAGACAAATGTATCAAGTTGAAAGTTTATATTTCAATAACATTTCACCATTAAAATGTATTTGGTATGCAGATAAGCTTTGCATACGAGTGATGCAAAATATGTTTAAATAAAGTCTTGTATTTCCTTTCTCAACGTCACGTTAACTGTTACTGTATGTACATGTTATTATAACGGTAGAGAAACAGTTGTGATAGTCATCGAAAGTCACCCTCAATGACATAAAGTTAGATCTCAACTATGATATCCAATCAAAAAATTTTGCTACTTTTTGCAACTTCTGTAAGATATTTAATATTAAAATGCTGAGAGGTATCTATCTATGCTCTCCGTGAATAGTATTCAGGATGCAGGATGAACTGCCGAATTATTAACAGTAATAAAATAATTTTTAACAAAAAATACAAATTAATAAAACCTATTTACTCGTTAAATAGTATACTAAATACATTTCAACCTTTTCGGAGGCGGTGCAAAATTAAAAACTTTTCTTCTACTAGGAAGATTCTAGTTCAGACGTCGGCAACCTATCAAATCATTATTGGCAGCATCGTATATTCGGGTATTTTTAATTTTGCGCCGCCTTCGAAAAGGTTGAAATGTATTTAGTATACTATTTAACAAGTAAATAGGTTTTGTTAATAGCTGTTGGGTATTTGTATAAACGAAATAGAAATTATTTCATGCTTTTTAGTGCATTTCGAGGTCGGTTGTATTTTTTGTTAAAAATTATTTTATTTCATACTTTTTAGTGGAACGAGCAGTATTTGTAGGATGCCGTAAGGTGGTTTACCGTTCTTATTGGTTAATTGCAATAACGATAGTTTTTAACGATAACAAGTTCCATACAAGTTATAACAATAGTTATTAACAATAACAAATTGCATAAATTTTTGCAAGTGAGATATCGAGATTAACTTAAAATTAAGTTAAAAACAATGTTTGTATCAATGGTATTTAATTCTCCATTTATATCTTAGATTTTTAACAACATATTTGAACTTAGTGACTCCAAAAATATAAAAATAATGATTTTTATGAAGGTCGCATAAAATTATGGATTTTTACCAGCTTTTCAAAAAACCGAACCACTGTGCAACCGGACTCGAACAATGCAGACTCGATCCGAGTATCGGTTACTCGAAATGGTCGAGCTTCCGCATATTCCTAAGCTATGGTATATCAAACTGAAGCTTAAAATTTACTGAAGAGTAGTAGAACATAAGCATTACATAAATATTTTTAATATAAACTGCCTTGTTGTCAAAGGATAGTCCTATTGATTACTAACGATAAGATAGTTAATGTTAAAGACATTAATAAGAAGCTCATATTGTTAGTTTTCAGTTAAAATATCTAAAAAAACTTTAACCCTCGGAGGGCGGACCATAGAGAGAAAGTCCCAATTTTAATTTAATTTTATATTCATATTATTTTCAGTTTCTAAATACACTTTTGCCCCAAAAATTATTCTTCCAATATATGAAACTCTTTCATTTAAAAAATATACATTTAACTTTAGTGTTTTATAAGTTTAGGTGTCGATTGATCCAGACTCCGGTGTTCAAGGGTTGAGCTTCAGATTGGTATAATATAAGTAAATGCGCTTCTTTCTGACAGTGTTGAATCATTAAATCGTGTCGAACTTTCTATGTTATAAAAATGGTCATTGTTTATTATAACCGGCCACCAATTATTTTGTATTCAGAATATTAATGAAAAATATTTGTGCAGTGATTTTCACCAAACTTTAAGTTTCAAATTAATGTGTCATAAGTGATGTTTTAAAATACTTTTATGTCATCACTTTGTGTGTATTGAAGTTTGTCATTGATTGCTGTAACTGTTAACCAGACATTTCCTAATAAGAATATTAATGAAACGCTTATATCATCATTTCAAGTAAAGTTCAAGCTTTAAATCTATATAATATAAATATTATTTTACATTGCTTTCAAATCATCAAATCGCGTGAAACTTATGCACAAAGGTTAGAGTAAATACATTTTCTTATGAATTCGTACACTTATGGATATCATTTATTTAACATAACTAAAAATCATTGAAAATCGAAGTATACTTTATAGTTTTTAATTTTTCATGGTACAAAAATTGCGCGTTTTTTATGTGTTAATCAATGTCAGTTTCCTGGTGACGATCCTCAAAAATAGAACGG